AGGACAGGAGCTTAACTTCAATAACTGCTGACCAGCAGATACAGCTGGCCTCATCGCATTCACATTGGCCAATCTCTTGTAAATTTTTTTTTTCTGACTCTCCTGAGCCCTTCTCCTCCCTACTCCCTCATTCTCTTGAAACACCTGAATTTCCTCTGCACAAATCAGAATGAAGCTTAGTTGTTTTTTTTTTTTCTTTTAATTTACATTTGAAGCATTTCTAGATTTCAAGCTGTCAGTAGTCACAGAAAAATCCATCTTCTTTGGATTTAACTAATGTCCAGCTGTGTTGAACTTTGACACCTCTATAGGGAGTCACCTGATCCTGGGGCTCACCTCTACCCCTAGGCTAAGAGAGTTCTGGGAGGGATCCAAGAAATCCCCCCTTCACCTCTCTTCTTCCAGGGCTTCACGTCACATAGCCCTCTCGGTTGAGGGATAGGAATGAGGAAAGTCTCCCTCTGCACAGCCAAATTTCCTCTTCCAAACCACTTGACTTTCAATACTATTTGGGCACCTGAGCACATACCACTGGTGAGATAAGGCTGAGCTCTTAGTTGTCTCAGCTTAACAAAACTATGTTTAACGTGCTTGTCTACCTACACCTGGATGAACCAAACCAAGGGAGGAGGGGCTTTCATCAGGGGCAGAGACTCTAAGGATCAAGAAGGAGCACTGACTTGGAAAACAGGGAGCTGCAGAGGCAATGGGAAATGACATGGTTGAGCCTTGCAAGGGGACAGCCAGAGAGCAGCTATTGGGCTTGGATGGGGACCGAAGGGAAAAGGGCTAAGGAATCTAAAAAGGGGGAACATAAAAGGACAGAGAAGGTGACATCATTAATTGTTTCATTGTTCACATTTTTCCTTTTGGCTCAGTCCTGCTCTTCACCTTCCATCCAAAAACTTAAAGTAAAATGTCTCTGCTCTGTACTTTCTTTCCTCTGCACCCAGCCAAGAAAAGCTATTTATTGTTTTATTTCTTCTTTTCCAATTATTCTGGCAAAAAAATGTAAATCAAAGGAAGGGGCAAGGAATTGGTCACTTAATATCTTTGGGTCTCAGTTGAATCATGAGAGTTTTGGACTGGATTCATAGTTTAGCAAATGTTTATTAAATGAGTAGTATGTCCAGACTACTGTCTATATGCTAGGGAAATATCATATCTCCCTCCTGGAGCTTACATTGCAGTGAGGGCAACATCCTAAAGGCAAATTAAAAAAAAAAACAAAAACAAAATTAAGATAGGGAATGAAAGTAGTATTTGATATGGTTGTCAGGAAAGAGTTCCATGAGAAGGTGACAACTGAGCAGGGATGTGAATAAAGTAAGGGAGCAGGCCAGGGGGAAGAGGATTCCAGGCAGAGGGAACCAGAAGAGCAAAGGGCCCAGCATGAGAACATGTTAACATGGACAGGCAGCAGAGAGGAGCACATAGTAAGAGACCTGGAAAAGTAATTCAGTGCCAAATCATGAAGGTCCTTGTGGCTACTGTAAGCACTCTGGAAATTTCTCTAATCATGATGAGAATTCATTGAATATTTGAGAGAAGATGACATTTTATTACTAGTAAAAATAACAATTAATATTTATATAGTATTTCATGTGTGCCAGTCTCTTTTTAATGAATTCATTTAATTTTACAACTCTCTGATGTAGACATTATATTATTAGTTAATTTTACAGATGATGAAACTGAGGCACAAAGAAGTTAAGTAAATTGATCAATTATATTAATACGTTACAGATTTTGACCTTGAACCCAGGTGGTCTGCCTCCAAGGTCCTTGCCCTCAATGCCTAGCCTGTATTTATTCTGATTTCCATTGCTAAGACCCTCAGAAGTGTGAGAAAAGACCTTGGAGGCAAGAGTTTAAGCAGAGGTCCAATGAAGGGAGAGAAGACAGTGATGTGGGCTGTGGTGGTTGTGGTGAAGAGAAGTAGTGGTGAGATTTGAGCCGTATTTTGAATGTAGAGGAAACAATATTTGCTGCTGGATTGCAGATGAGCTCTGAGAAAAAGCCAGGGATCCATGGCGAATCCAACTTTCTGGCCTGAGCAACTGAGTAGAAGATGGTCTTGCTTACAAAACTGGGGAAACTGGGAGAAGGGGTGGTTTGGTGAGGGGTGGAAATAGTTTTGTTTTGTTTTGTTTTTTTCTTAATATGTAAAGTTTGAAATATATATATGAAACACCCAAGAAGATATATAAGGGAAGCAACAGGGTAAATAGAGTCTGGGTTTCAGACTGTAGATTTAAATTCGTGGGTCATTGTCACACCAATGTTTGAGAATGCTACGTGTCTGGATGTGATCTCCCACGGAGGGAACATAAGCACATCAAGGATAGGCTCTGGGCCATTCTAACCTTCAGAGATGATGAAGATGTGAAGGATCCAAGAAAAGAGTCTGGAAAGGAGCAGCAGATGAATCAATGGAAAACAAGAAGTCAGGTAAGAAGGAGTTCGAAGGAGAAACTGATCAACTGTGGGAAATGCTGCTGATGGGTCAAGTAAGATGAAGACCGAGAATTAGCTACTGAATTTGGCTAGGAAGAGGTCATTTGGTACCTTGACTCTAAAGTGTTAGGGCCAAGATTGACTGGATTGGTTTCAAGGGACTAGCAACATTCTGAGGCATATGAGTAAAGATAATCTGAAAAAAGAGGTGGGGGATAGTAGCAGAGGGAAGGAGAGTGTCATGAATTTCCAAATAATTCAGTCCACTTCAGAATATTGTATCGAGCATCTTCTACACACCCAACACTGTTAGGTGCTGACACCAGTGAGATCATAGTCTCAGTCATTCATTCATTTAGGGGACAATTGTTCACTGAATGCCTAGTATGTGAGTTTGAAAACATTTTTTCTTAATTGTTATAATAACATTTTGACATTAAAGAAAATTTTAAAATTATGCCTATACTCTCATAATCCCAACACATTAACACTTTTCCACATTTCTTTCAATTACTGGACATACATTTCCATAGTTGTTACACAAAGTTATTAGTTATATCATAAGCCTTTTTTGTTTGTAGACATATTTTCATAATACCTTAATTTGACAGCAGATATTTTATTGTGTGAATATACACCATTAGTTATTTCCTCATTTTCCATTCCCAACCATTTATGTTATCTTCAAACTATAATAGATATTACAATGATTGTTTTTCTCTATGTCTGTCATCCTCATTAAGCTATGAGTATTCCTTCCAAATCCAGGACTACATGTGGTTCAGTTTTGAACCCCCAACATGTCCCAGGCACCCAGTCTTGACTTCTAGGAAGCACATGAGACCGTATAGTGGAGCAGCTAATAAGAAGATTTACTGCCTTGGTTCTTATCTTGTGTTCTCCACTTGTAGGTTTGTAGCCATGGGCAAGATACAACTTCTCTATAGCTCATTGATAAATTACACATCATAATAGTACCTTTGAATGAGCTGATATATGCAATGTGCCTAGTACAATGTAAGCGCCCATATGAGTGCTTGATAAGTGTATTATATAAGAACAAACGTCCATGCCCTGAATATATTCAACGAATGAATAATAAACCAAGGAACAATTTTATTTGTGCTTTGCACAGGTAATTTTAAAAATTATTTTGGATTATTTGCTTTTGGGTTCAGTAACCATATTGTGAGCATGTACTACGTGTCAGGTATCCAGAGACAAATAATCGTTTCTTCAGATTAATTTCCCTAAGTGATATCAGTAAATGCAAGAACATTTCCACAGCTTTGATTATCCTATTATTTTGCCTTGGGGATTTAAGCTCCTTGAAGGCAGGGGCACTGTCTGAGTTTCGCACTGCTGGCCATCGTTATAGAGACTGCCACCTGCTAGTTCCACCTGCTAGTTCGTTTAGCCCCTTTTCTTTTTTCATATCCTTCTTTCTCCTTTGCTTAATTGCTTTCTCTGGATCTCGATTTCTTGGATAATTTAATAATATTCAATTAGTTAACTCGGAAGGAAAAAATCGAGGAGGTGGTGGTGGGCAAGGCATGTGTGAAGAGACAAGTCTACGTGGTAGACAGCCTTTGTGAGGAGGGGTCAAAAATGGGGAGAGGTGACGACAAGACACTGCCAGTCAGAAACAAATCACAAGGGACTACCAACAGAAGATTCTTGAACAAAGAACAATGAAAGTTATTACAAACCCTGTTAGGATGATTATGCAGATTACCATCTAGAATAGGAGAGAGCACTTGAGGTCTCTAGCAGAAATCTGGAGAAATGGGAATGAGTGAAAGGAAAGGAACATTTTTTGAGATTATTTCCTTCTATAACGATTCATTCATTCATTCATTCATTCATTCATTCAATACACATGTACTGGGGGCCTATTTTGTGCCAGGCAGTGTGCTAGGCACTGGGTATCCACCCATGGAAAATACAGATTCAGTCCTGCTGTCATGACCATTTGTTTGTCCCAGGACTGTCACTTGTGGCGAAGCAAGAGCTCCGGAACACCAAAATTGAGTCTGTTTCTTCCTGTCGCACTCTGTGGTTGGCACATGGTGGGCGCGCTCACATCCTGTAGTCTGAACTGATTCATTGCTTTGGTGCAGCAGGACAGCTAAGTACACAGAGCCGGGGAGAAAAGGCAGGGTGGCATCATCTCGCCTGGAAGACCAGGACCCTGCAATGAACGCCGGTGTGCAAATCTGTGTACAGTGGGGGCGTATCTTCCCAGTGCGCCTGGCAGCGGGCCAATCACCGGGACCCACCCTCTCCTCTGCGGGCGCGCTCTAGCCAGCCCAGGCGGTGGCGGGGCGCAGACGGGGCCAGGCGCAGCCTCGCGTCGGTTCGCAGGCAGGCCCAGCGCGGCTCCTCCTCGCCGCGGGCGGGGCTGCCCTCGGTGCCGCCCCGCGACCGGGGCTCCGCGAAGCTCGGAGCGGCGGGGGCTGGCGAGCCAGGGCGGCGGGTGGAGCCGGGGCAGCGCGGCGGCGACCAATCGCGCCGCGCAGGGGGAGGAGCCCCAAAGGGGGAAAAAGAAAGTGCGGCGGAAAGTAAGAGGCTCATTGGGGGAAGACTGGCCGGATCAGGGTCCCCGGGCTCCGCTTTGGCCAGACTCACCGAAAGAAGCAGTGTCGGGCGACCCTGCCACCCGTCCCCACTGGTTCTCTGCGCCCGTTCTGCTTCCCAAGAAAGGTGAGTCTCTTGCTGTCGTGAGGGCTCGGAGGAATCACCTACCCACAGAATCTCAGGGTGGAAGGACTCCTGAAAATCGTCTCGTTCAACCCTCTTATTTTCCAGAAGGACAAACTGAGGCACAGAGCGAGGCAGCAGCGGGGATAGATCACACAGCTAGTTAGTGCTGTGGTCGGGACTCGAACCCAACTGTCCAGAGCCCCATTTTTGCTTTGTACAGATTGAGGTACCGCAGTTTGGGGACGGCTGCGCGTTGCTGCACCCCAGTTCCAGCTCTCTGAGGGATCTACCCTGGCGTACCCCCGCCTGGGTATCTCCAGAGCGCTGCTGTGAGCGGTGAGGATAGGAGAGGGCAGTGTGTCCCAGCCTGTCTCATGCCAGGAGCTGTGACAGCCTGGGGAAAGGCTGCTTGCAGCCTCGCTCCGTCCTCCCCTGACCTGCTTTCTCAGAAAGATACCCCTGCCGAGGGTGTCTGGCTGGCTCCTGGGGAGGCGGTGGCAAGGGGAGGGACGTCGGGGCGCGGATGACTGAGGTTGGTACTCACAGCTGTCTCCCAGCGCCGGGAGGAAGCTGGTGGTCCCGCAGGGGATAGGATGCCCCTCGGTTAGGAATAGCTAGCTTCATGGAGCCATGGCCCCCGTCACTTCTGAGTGCCGGGAGGCAACAAGGAAGCTGAGTTGAAGGGAAAAATCACAAGCAGAAAAGCAAACTTCTGCCGTTTTCTTTAAGAACCAGTACCCAGTCTGTCTTCCCTCCACCTCCGGCCGTGAAATCGAGATCCACTGCCGCTGGGAGGGCTTCTGCTGCTCCTTTCCACAGATCCCGGGTTAGCTGCCGGCTGAGCAGGAGTATTTAGACCTGGTTTTGATTCCAGCTCTGCCGACTATTAGCTGAGTGAACTTGGTGGGGCAAGTTATCCAATCTTCTCGGTACTCAGTTTTTGCCCCTGGCCGCAACAACAGGGAGATGATAAAAATCACAATGAGCCCTGAGGGTAGTTGGAAGGATGAAATGGGATAATTCAAATGGTATGTATAGCGCAGTGCCTGGCCTGACATCTGGTTAATTTGAGATCGATGGACACTATTGTAAATATTGTTACACACTAACCCTGGAGACAGTGGATTTTCAGAACGGTGATTTCATTTCATACTACCTTAAAGTGACTTTTTTTTTTTTTTTTAATCTGGAATGCTGTGGCATTTTCTTATTTGGAGTTTGAACAGCTTTTATAGAAAGTGTTTTCTGAGTGCTGTCTCCATGTGACTTTGATCATGGATGCTTGAGCTGGAAATATCAAATTAATGTTTCTCAGTGATGCTGAGCCCCCTCGTTTTTAGGCCAAGCCTCAGTCTGTGAGGCACCTTTTATTTGCAAAGACGGTCTTGAATTTGATGAGAAGTAGGAAGACAAGAGAAGTTGGAAGTTCCTTCTGTGTTACAGACTGTGCTAATCCTTGTTTTCCTGCTGTCTTAGGTCAGACAAGCAACTTTATGTTTTCTTTAATAGGGGAAAACAGCAACACAATTCTCACTATTTCTTTGGGATTATGCCGTGATGTTGCTAAATTCAGTCCCTCTGGACACAGACATACCTTATTTAAACATAAATACTACACATGCCTACTCTAGTCGTCCTTAATTATTGTTATTTTAAAATGAATAGCTCCTCTCATATATCCCCATGAGGCTCATGAAAATTGATTTTATTCTGATTGACTTTATACAGTTATTTACTAGTGTCTCCTGGCTATGCCTTTAAGTCCCCGAATTGAGTGTTCAGCATTTATAGTTGGCTGCCTGCTTCCCGGTTCCTTCCATTTGCGTGGGGTATTGATGAGTGCATAGGAGGGGGTGTGATACATCTTGAGGGAAGAGAAGAACTTGGCCGTGCCCCTGTAGGTACCTCCTGCACCAAACGTTTGCAGGGGATGGGATCTCTTGCTTCCATCAGCCTGCTCTGTGTGCATGCATTGTGATCAGTGGGCCAGGATACGTCTGATCGTGTGCCTGAGAACTAGGGGGCCTGTGGGCAAAAGGAAAATGTTAAAAAATAAGGTCAGAACAAGGGGATGGAAGGGAGATTGGAAGGTAATTTTTTTGGTTCTGGCTCTTTAAAGAAAGGATACCCAGTTATATCTTTCCTCCTTATCCGGATTATTTGTTACAAAATTCATACATATAGATAGAACTTTAAAATTTCCAAAACATATTCCATATATATTATCTTTCTTGCTACTTGCGATAGCCCTGAGAGAAGGACATGGGAGGCATATTAATGGTGGAAGGAGCTTAGGTTTTGTGGTCAAATTCAAATTTCAGCCCTAATTCCTCTGCAGCTAGGTCATACTGAGCAGTTTTTTTCACCATTTAGGGCTTTTGTTTTACTCAATTCTAAAATGGAAAGGAAAATGCTTACCCCGAGAATTCGTGTGAAGATAAAATTAAGTGGAATAATGTAAAATCTATGTAGTGAGTAGTTGCTCATTAAGTGGTATCTCTTCTTAGCTGGTCTCAAAAGAGACTGAGTGAGACTCAGAGAAAGGAGAGGTTTCTAAGAGTCACATGGTTATTATGTTTCGACCTGGGAGTAGAGCTTACAACTTGTAACTTCTAGTTAAGGGTTTTTCCCTGTCACACCCCATCCCGTCACTGCTCCGAGTTCTTTAACAATTTACCTCAGTTAAGGTGACCTTATTGGGCTGGTGTAGGGGATCCTTTCTGTCCCAAGAGGAAATTTCCTTGCTGAAGGAACAGTCCATAAGCGTACTCTGTAGAGGTTAGGGGGGTCAGCTACTAGGAGAGCAAATTCAAAAGCCCTGATATCTAAGGCAACGTTCCTACTCTCCTGCCTTTAAATAATGCACCTTCCATTCCTAAGAGGAAGGGGACTGTGAAGACATGAAGTTCAGAATTATATTACGTATTTCTTCCTGTTCTGAGTGTTTTCTTCTCTCTGTCATCCTTGTGCTAATTCATAGGGCAGTAAGAAGGTTGTGCAACAAATGTCATGAGTGACCATTGTGTTCTTCACTTCTCTCGCTAATGCAGGGGGTACAGGATGGAATGGAGAGCAGTAGGCAGAGGTAGCATTTGCAAAAAAGACCACTCGCTGCTTCTTGACAGTGCTGATCACTGGTCTGGAGCCTCAGTCCTCCCTGTGGAAACTGATGGCTGCAGGCTTATGTAGGAAAACGAACAGATCTGTTTCTGGCCCAGGCAATGGGGCCATTTATCCGTTGAGACTCCCCATAGGCCATCAGGTTTCTCTGCTTTGCAGCAAGCAGACAGGCTTGCAAATGCAGTTCTGGGAGAAACGTTTTTGCTCCTTGCTTTTGGCATTTGGAAGCATATGTTTGCCAAAAGGTATCCAGTTAGCGTCATCTTACCTGGCACGGTTAGAAAAGCAGAATGTGGCTGGACAAAATCGGAGGAGGAGGCAGAAGAGAAAATAAATAAATAAATAAATAAATAAAGGTTATCTCCAGCATACACACAGTTTCATTTGTTGCTCAACTTTGTCAGGGCTTCTGCTGGTGACACAGATGTAGGATCTGGTGAGTCACTGTCGCCTTGCCCGTGAAATATTAAAGAGAGCCACCTACTGTGCTCTTTGCAAATTTTGGAAATTGCTCTGTGGGTGAAATAAAAACCCCAAAGAATGGAAAAGTTACAGAACATTTGGCATCTGATCTTTTGTGGGATTAATTCAGTTTAGCTACTCATTGGCTCAGGTTTGTTTGTTTGCTTGTTTTCTCTTTTTAGAAATTGAGAATGTACCAAGGAGATTGTGGAACTGATGGGAAGACCTCCTGGTAGCCTGACTTGATTCTGCCCAGCTCTGGCACCTGGGGCAGTGTCGAGCTGTAGAATCTGACAGGGACCTGAGGCAAGTTAGGGTACTGTGGTGAGCCTCTGTCTCCTCAGCCAGGAAACAGGAACACTGACGCCTGTCCAGAAGCTGGAGTCCCTATCCCAGCACCTTATTCACTGGAGGCATTTAATAAATGTGAATTCTGCCATTAGTTCTTTCAATTTATTAGTCCGTTAAATTGTGAAAATCAAAATGTAATAGTTATTCGCTACTGAACTCCATTGTGGATTGTACTGTTTTATAAGTATCACCTCATTTAATCCTTGCAGTGACCCTGTGTATTTTTGGAGGCAACTGAGGCTCAGAGACGTTAAGTAGGTTGAAAGGTCTGAGATTGTGTGGCCTCTGGACTAGAAGTGAGAGCCTGGGCTGGGACCGATGACCCACCCATCCCCATCCTGCCATTCTGAGTCTGGGATTACCTTGCCTGGAACTGAGAAGTCTCTAGCTCTGGGCTTCAGATGGGAGGTTCTTCTGCCCCAATACATTGTTATTTTTCATTAAGATTCCCTTCAACTCCAAAATTCTGTGTCCATATCTCATTGTAAAAGTCAAAGCTAGAAGAGGAAAGGGTAATAAAGAGAAAATACCCTTATGTTTTATGCCAAGAGATCTATTTTCCGGTCAAACAGAGGAGGGCAAAGGAAATCAGCATTCATTGGTGCGTGCACTTCTATCATTTCACTTAAGCATAAAATAACTCTCAGATATATATTATTATCTGCCTTTTACAGATGGAAGAACGAAGGCTCAGGGAGACTTCCAAGGTTAGTCAATTAGTAAGAACTAGAATTGGTGTGTTTCTGAACACAAAGGCATTCGGGCTACCTTACCGTGTTTGCTAGACACCACACCATCAAATCGGAGGACTTGGAGAGTTAGATTCAGGAATGTCCCCTCCTTGTGTCCTCATATCATACCATTGCAGTAGCCATGTCCTTTCCTCCTCTACCTTCCCATGCCTGCTGCTAGAACCCTTGCCTCATTCTTCCCAGTCTGTGGGACCACATGAAATAAGTGCACTGTCTTCATTCTATCTCTACTGTGATTTTCAAAACTTATTTGTTTGTTTTCACTCTGGGCCAGTAATTTGTCCCTGTTGTTTCTTGTCCAAGTCCCTGATTAGC